AAGGCTATAAACTTTCAGTCGTAAGATGAGTAAGGTCTGAGGATCTAATGTATAACACGGTGATTATAGTTGATAACATTCTTGGATGATTGAAGTTTGATAAGAGAGGAGAAGTCAAATGTTCCCACTAGAAAGAAAAAAAGGAAGTTAAATATGTGAGGTGATGTATATGTTAATTAACTCAGTGGGGAGGAATCCTTTCAAAATGTGTACATATATCAAATCACCATGATGTATACTTTAAATATCTTACAATTTTTTTTTCAGTTATACCTCAGTATAGCTAGGGAAAATAAAGAAGAAAGTTCTGAGCCACATTTAAGTGAAAATAGCATTCTGTTCTTTACTACCCAGATTCAAATTAGTCCTCCAGTCCCTGGAAACTGATCCATTCGTCCAACTTACTTAAAGATTAGTCATCTACTATGTGCCAGGCAATGTTTTTGAACAGGAAACACAACATAAATGATGCACAATTTCAGTCTTTAAAGAATTCAAAATATATTGGGAAGACTTACCAAAAGATGATGACAATACAATGCAATCGCTATGATGGGGGGATGTGCAAGGGTCTGTGGGAGCCTAAAGCAGAGAGCCTTCGGGAACAGCACCCCTTGGGGAAATGACTTCATAGAGAAGGTAACATCTGAGCAGTCATATCAGGTCTGCTTGATGTGTTTCCAATATGGGGGCAGGGTACAGAGGGGGATTCCAGAAAGAAGACAGTTAATGCAGAGATCTTAAGGACAGAACAAGCACATTCTTCTATGACCGGAAAGAGGAAAATAAGCAGGGGGGCGGCGGAGATAATGTTGGAAAGGAAGGACAAGGACTTATGTATGAAGGGTCTTGGTTATCTTTATGAGGAATGTGAAATTATTTTGTAGGCAGTAGAAAAGCAACAAAAATTGAAGCAAAGACAATTATAGGAAGTTGTCCTTGCAACCACTGTACATTTTTTCCCCTGTATCCCCTCTAATTTCATCCCCTGACTTCTCTTAAGTCATGTTCTTAAATTTCTTTAAACATACTCAAGTAATAATAATCTCTTATATTTGACATATTGGAATCTGAGGTCTAATTTGATTAGGACCCTTACCTCCATTCCTATTTATCACCATAGGAAGCACAGGAGAAGACACCCCTCTCCCCTGGGACTCTAATTCCCATAGGACTTCTGCATTGCTGTCTGTCCCTCCATTTCCTTCCCTTCTCTATCTTCTGAAACTTTAGAGAAGTTTCAAGTCAATCATTAGCAAAATCCCCTTAATAATCAACTTATTTTGAGACTATTTCCTTTAGGTTCTTTTTTGTTACTAACACTGATCTCTCCATTGATTATACTCTTTCTCTTACATTCCTTCTGTTTTCTCCTTCTACCGCAAGGGCTGGAGTCATGGTATACCTCCCGCCTTATTTCTTTTTAATGGTACTTCAAGATTATTCTCCTTTCCTCCTCCATAAAAACTTCAAGTTTTGACTGTGATTTTGTCAAACTGTTCCATCCACTGTCTCTCCTTGCTATAATCATCTACTAATTCTCAAGTCATTTTCCCTCCTTCTTTGATGATCTTATTTCCTGGTTCAATCCTACTCTCAACACTATTCTTGTTTTAATTCTCGGTGATCTTATTGTTGATGTAGAAAATTTTGCCAGTGTTCTGAGCTCTTAGATATTGAATCTCCTTTCCAATTTCATATTCCATCCCAACTCAGAGACTCACTTCCATGGGTATATCCTTGACATTGCTCTTACAAATCGCAATTTCGAATGTCTACTGTGACTATCACTGAATATTTTTCTAGCTCACTCCTGCTAATATCATGACTAAAAACACAAAAACAAATAAAAACAAAAACCTTTGACCACTTCAGAATTTAAGAGTTGATCTTAAATTGACCTTATCACCCTCCTTCCTCATCCCATGCTATTCCTTCCTTCCTTACATGACACAAATACCATGGCAAAGTCAAAAATTACTCCCTTACATACACCCACAGCTCCTTTGTCTTTCCCTCTGCTTTTCACAGTTACCTAGAGATACCAAAAGTCTGGTGAGATCAATACTGCCACTTTGATATCTGCATACACACCACCAAATACGGCTGAAGAAGGAAGACATAGCACATAATGAAGCCAATCTCACTTTAAATTCATGATCGTGAATGCTGCCTGACAATGATCTGATATTTCCCTAGTCCTCTCCTTACAACTGAACTATTCAAATATTTCATACATTCTTCTCTCATTTTCCTATTATTCTCAGTTGATGAATCTTCCTGTTTCACTAAGCAAATTAGAGCATTCAGAACTTAACACTCAAAAAAAGGAACTCTTGGTTTTGCTTCCTACCTCTCACCGCCACCAACACAAAAAGCAACAAAAACATGTTCGTCCTATGGTTTTCTCCATCTCAGTGAATGGCAACTTCATTCTTCTAGGTGTAGGGCCAGAAAACATGGTGCTGTCTTTGATGGTTTCCTTTGCTCATATCTTGCGTCTTATCCTTTAAGAAACCCTGTGATTCTCCTTTCAGTATATGTGCTGCTGAAGCGAGCACTGTGATTCTCCTTTCAAAATATATCAAGAATGTTATGCTTCTGTCTACCTCATTACTTCCACTTTGGTCCAGGTGACCAGCATTTTTGCCTGAATTATTGCACTAACTTCAGAGATTGAATCATGCTGCTTCCCTTGTCCACTGTACTTGATTCTCGAGAGCAATCACCAGAGTGGTCCTGTTTGAAATATAAGTCGGATTATGTCCCTCCTCTACTCAAAAACTTAAAATTATCCCCACCACAGTCAGACTAGAAGCCCAAACCATTACTATTATTTAAAATTCCATACATGTTTTCATCTCTGACTTCATCTTTTTTGTGCCTTACTATTTCTCCATATCATATATCACTATGTAACATTCTGTATATTTTACTTTTCTATCTTGATTCTTTCCAGTACCATAAGGACAGGGATGTTCGTTTGTTTTGTTCACTACTATATTGCGAAAGCCTAGATCAATGCCTAACTCATAGTAGGCATGTTTCGCATGGCTACATTATCTAATCTGTTGTGCATGCTAATACTTTTATAGTTGTGTGATTTACTGCAGTAATTCAAAGGATGATCTCTAATCAGACTCAGAGAAGTTTGAATTTCATCTGCACCTTGCTACATGAATTTGCAAATTGCATTTAATGTCTCCAAGTCTTGTCTTCTCATTTTAAAAATGGACATAATAGGGCGCCTGGGTGGCTCAGTCGGTTAAGCGACTGCCTTCGGCTCAGGTCATGATTCTGGAGTCCCGGGATCGAGTCCCGCATCCGGCTCCCTGCTCGGCAGGGGGTCTGCTTCTCCCTCTGCCCTCTTCCCTCTCGTGCTCTCTGTCTCTCATTCTCTGTCTCTCAAATAAATAAATAAAAT